GTAACTTCATTAAAGTGGACAGAAACAGAATAAAACTGTTTCAACAATCACCAACTCCGGTTTCTCTCAGATATTTAACCTCCAAATATTAACATTTCTTATCATTTCGGACTCCATTTGACTGTTTTTGCACCATCGTAACTCTTTAATCATAGAAACGTGTACAGATGTGACCTCCGTCGGGCTGAATGTGACCTCCGTCGGGCTGAGGTGAGGCGAAGACGTCCACACGAAGGACAGCGGGACTGGAGTTAATGGTTTCTTCACGCTGATTTTATGCGTTTCACAGAACCTAAAAACCCCTCATGATGTGCATGTGATGGGAGGAGGAGGAGGAGGATGTACATTACTGAACAATTTCCTCCTTGTCTCGCCACAGCGGGCGCCATGTTCAACGTCCATACAGCCACCGCTGGCCTCCTCCTCTTCCTCCTCCTCGTCCTCCTGCTTTACCAGCTCCATGTTTCTGTGTTAGTCCAGTTTTATTTCATCATTTTTAACTCTTTTGGTTTCGTTTTGTCTACAAGTCTTTTCATTCTTTCATATTTGTCCCCATATTCATTTCCTCCTCTCCTTCTAATTCCCTTTAAATGTTCTCCTCCATCACCTCCTCTCTATTCTTTCTGTTTTCCTCCTCCTGAAGTTGACCCCTGTCCTCCTTCCTCTCCTTCACTGTCTCCTGTCTTCACTTGTCCACCTTCCTCACATCCTCCATTTTGTCCCCTCACTGCTTTTTCCTTTCTCGTCGACTTCACTGTCGTCTGTCTCCTGTGGAAGCTCATTTCTGACCATGTGACGGAAAAATGGATTCTGTGAGTTGTAATAATGAGAAACTCAAAATACTGACCTAATATCTCAAACACTGACCTAATATCTCAAAATATTGACTCAATATCTCAGAATATTGACCCAATATCTCAGAATATTGACCCAATATCTCAGAATATTGACCCAATATCTCAGAATATTGACTCAATATCTCAGAATATTGACCCAATATCTCAGAATATTGACTCAATATCTCAGAATACTGACCCAATATCTCAGAATACTGACTCAATATCTCAGAATATTGACCCAATATCTCAGAATATTGACTCAGAATATTGACCCAATATCTCAGAATATTGACCCAATATCTCAGAATATTGACTCAATATCTCAGAATATTGACTCAATATCTCAGAATATTGACCCAATATCTCAGAATATTGACTCAATATCTCAGAATATTGACCCAATATCTCAGAATATTGACTCAATATCTCAGAATATTGACTCAATATCTCAGAATATTGACTCAATATCTCAGAATATTGACCCAATATCTCAGAATATTGACCCAATATCTCAGAATATTGATAAAGTTTCTCATTATTTGGACTTAAAGAATCTTTTTATGGCAGAAATGAGCTTCCATTACCTCGTTAACCTCGTCTATTTCTTCTGTTTCCTCTTTAATCTTCTGTCTCTTTTATTGTCTCTTTAATTTGTCCTCCCATCCCTCTCTTTACACTCTTCCTCCTGCCTTCCACTCACCTCTTCCTCTTTCCTTGAACCCTTTTTGTTATGTTATAACCTCCTCGCTGTGACATATAAGAAGATGTAGATCATTTTTATAATAATAATTGTGAACTCGATCATTCTTCCCTCCTTTTCTTCTGACCTTATAAAATATGTAGTGGACGAGTGAAACTGGTCCTTCTCTTCTGACCACAGCGACAAAAAGTCCGTAAAGCAGATTGTTATTGAAGCAGTTAAACGTATTTAACGTTTTATTTGTTATTCGCATTGATGAGAAGTTGTCCACAGACCAGGAAGTGATCATATATATATATATATACAGAGCAGATGATGATTATATTTATATTTATGATGTTTGCGTCTGTACAACCTTCATCAGGAACACTTCATACTTGTACTTTACAACATTTTAAAGGGAAATATTGTTGTTTTTATTCCACAATATTTAATTTAGAGCTCAAAGTAAAGTTTAGGTGAAATTAAAAATGTAATTTTAACCCTTAAGATTAAATCCTCAGTTATATTGTTTCCATATTTAACAATTTATGACAAAGAAATTACAAAAAACTCTGCTGCTGTTAGCTAACTGCTAATGTAGCAGTCGACTCCCCCTTTAATTATTATTAACGTTATAAAATTCTGTTTTGCAGCATTTAATTTAAAATATTAGACTTAAAGTAATCAGATATTTTAATTAGGTAAAAGTAGTAAAACCAAAGTGTAAAAAATAATGTAAAGTTATTTTAACTCTGAAAAACTGTTAAAATTGATTAAATGGACATTTTTAAGTAACACAAACTATATTTAGTCATAAATTACAGAAACATTCCTCATTAATAATTTTTTACAACTTATTTTGTTTTCAGAGTTCAAATAAAAATTACAAAAGCTATAAAATAAAAAAATGTTTAACATAAACAGTTTCAACAAGTTTTGAGTTAAATCAACTTTATTTTACTTAAATTAAACGTGTTATATTTATTAAAATATACTTAAAAAGTCAATAATTTGTGATCAATAATGTGAATCTGCACAAAAGTAACTAAATAAATGTAGTGTAATAAAGTAAAGTAAAACTTCTGCTCAGTATAAAGATTTTATTTACGCTCCACCGCTCTGTGATCTGATCAATATATTGATCGAATGTCAATAATTTGTGATTAATACTTTGTATTAATAATGTGACTCTGGATCGAACTAAATTAAATATAAAATGTTTCATTTTTACTTCAAATTTATATCTTCAGTAAATATTGATTATCTCTTTCATTGATTACTAATCATCTGTATCTGTATTGACCCATTTCTCCCTTCGCGAGACTCACAGAGCCTCTTTCAAGGAGCTCGAGCTCTTCTGCTTCTATTTTTTTTATTTTTATATCCGTTAAAGCTCCGATAGCGTGCGCGCGCCGCGGACATAATTCTGATGAGGAGGAGGAGGAGGATGCGCGCTCCCGAGGAGGAGGAGGAGGAGGAGGAGGAGGAAGCCAGCCATCCGCGCGCGCATGCTCGAGACAGCAGGTGCCCAAGAAAAAAAAAACCCAGTAATTTGCATTGCTAATGAGCTCCACTGAGCCTCCTCCCCCTCTCTCCCCCCTCTCCCCCCTCCATTTTGGGGGGCAAAAAAATCTCCTAATATGGCGACGAGTTTCCTGCTTTCTGCTCAACACAATAAAATAAATAAAAACTATTATTTTTTATATATGTTTACGTTAGATTTTACACACTGTGCAGCACAATACAGGCAGATTATTACCCTGTGTGTGTGTGTGTGTGTGTGTGTGTGTGTGTGCACTGAACCACACACACACACACACACACACACACACAATAACGAGCCTTCTTTTACTTCATCAGCCGGTTAATCGAACCCAATCGATCGATTTAAAGCAGTTTTTTACATCAGCGTGAACAATGGACTGACTGTGTGTGTGTGTGTGTGTGTGTGTGTGTGTGTGTGTGTGTGTGTTCAATGATCAGTTCAATCATCAATCAGCCGATATGGGGGGCAATAATCAATGGAGGCAAAAAGAGCAGCGAGTGAAGGGGTTCAACGAAAACAACAACAACAACAACAACAACAACCAGAGAGAGAGAGAGAGAGAGAGAGAGAGAGAGAGAGAGACTGTGAATTCCTCATTGAGCAAAACAAGTGAAGCGCCAAATTCCCAACAAGCAGCCTCGTTGTCTATTGTGGGGGGGGGAGAGGGAGGAATCCTCCCCCCTCCACCTCTCAGTCACTGCAGACCATAATAATAATAACAATAATAACAACAATAATAATAATAATAACAATAATAGTAATGAGGATGAGGATGATGATGATGAGGATGAACTGTGGAGCTGCAGTGATGAAGCTGTTTGTGCTCTCTCTCTCTCTCTCTCTCTCTCTCTCTCTCTCTCTTTAACTTTAACGGTCGTTGATCGATCTCTGGTTAATCGATAGGAATCGGTTGTTTTGATGTTTTCTTTGTGTTGTCGGTGTAAACACTGAAGCTCTGCCCGCCATGTGCGTGCGCTTTTACACGCGCTTCATCGAAAATGGCTGAGACCCCCTCCCCTCTCTCCTCTCCCTCCTCTTCCTCACCCCCCTCAACCCCATTTCATCCCCTCTCTCTCTCTCTCTCTCTCTCTCTCTCTCTCTGCGCGCGCATTGTGTAATATCCTCCGGTTTTATTGCTGTTTATTGTTGTTATTGTTGTCGAGGCGCATAAACAACTTCCTCTGGATGTTTATGTGTTTTTTGTTTGTTTTTTTTTTTTTTTTGGGGGGGGGTATTTTATCCTCCACGCACGCGGACAGATGACACACATGTCAGCTGCACGTTAACCGTACAGACCCGCGCGCCTCTCCGCGGCTCCATGTGACACTGAGACAGAACCCACTTGTCCGGAATAACGCGCAGAAAATGCGTAAAAATGCGCAAATGTTCCCGCTGTTGCTCCAGAAGCTGCGCACAGAGCCGGAGTGTGATTGATCCGGGCCATGTGAGTGACCCCCCCCTCCATCGATATTAAACCACTACATATTGATGGTTTTAATATTTTGCATCCAGAAGCAGACGGTTTTATCTGGGGGGGGGGGGCACGGCGCGCAACGCCGCCACACAACAGCCCCGCTCATTGTCCCCCTCCGCCGCCGCCGGAGACCCTCCAACCGCGACAAAAAACAAGCCCCCTTCTCCTGCAACAGGACCCCCCCACTCTCAGCCGCCTCCTCCTGCAACCAGCAGGTTCATTTGACCGTAATTACCCGCCAGCTAATCGCCATTAAACGCATTCCCGCGACCTGTAGATCGACGGGAGCAAATAAAACCTGAGAGAATAAACCAGCAACCAACCCCCCCAACCGCCCTCTCTCTCTCCCTCTCTCTGCTCTCTCTTCACACACACCTCCCCAACCAAAGCATCGGAGGCGAGAGATGGATGCAAACAGCAGGTGAGATGGACAGAAAAAGAGAAATAAAAGAAACAAACCTCCGTTCGTGCGCGTAAATCCGTTTCCAAAAGCGCGTGGAGAGAAAGGTAATAAGCTTGTTGTGTTGGACGGGAAAAGACGCTGCCGGGGCTAAATCCTCCCAACCATCCTCCCTCTCTCTCTCTCTCTCTCTCTCTCTCTCTCTCTACGTCTGTGTCTAGGTCTCTCTCTCACTGTCTGTCTCTCTCTCTCTCTCTCTCTCCCTCTTGCTCCTTTGCGCGTCTGCGTCTCTCTCTCTCTCTCTCTCTCTCTCTCCTCAGCCAATTGTGTGAGATGAAATTGGCGCGAGGGGTCGCGCAACGGGACGCTGGCAGGTCCTCACACGCACGCGCGCCCTTACCAACACACACACACACGCACAGGACGCCTTCCACCTCGCTTACTCCCCTATGGTTGCCCCTAGCAACCACAAAGACCCACCCACCACCCTCCTCCTCCTCCTCACCCACCCTCCCTAAAAATTTCATCCCCCAGTGAAGAGGGTTTAGAGAAGGGGAGAAAAATTATCTTCTTCTGGGGGTTAATTTACTCGCTGGAGGACTGAGCGCGAGAGGTTTTCATATGAGGAGTGTGTGTGTGTGTGTGTGTGTGTGTGTGTGTGAAGGGGGAGATGGGTGAGAGATATAGACAAACAGTAAGAAAGAGAGAGAGAGAGAGAGAGAGAGAGAGAGGTCTGGGCGCCAACAGCTTACAACTCTCCCTGTGGTGGCTGCTCCATTCACGTTTCAGGCATTGTTTAGTGCCAGTGTGTGTGTGTGTGTGTGTGTGTGTGTGTGTGTGTGTGGAAGGCAGGAGAACAATGGGGGCAAAGCATCAGGGCGAGCAGTAAGAGGGGGGGAGGATGAAGGAGGAGGAGGAGCACCCCCCCCCTCCTCTTCCTCCTTCTTTCAACCACTCAGAGCGAACGGAGAGAAGATGGAGACGTTCACGCTGAGCCGGCTAAATTCAAACCGATCCTCCGTTCGCTGGAGATTCATCCAACTTCTTTAAAGTTCAGATATTATTGTGATATATTGTTTCCATCGTTAACAATTTATGCTCCAATATGTCACAAAAACTGTGTTTTTATATTAAAATCCAATCATTGTGTCTTCCTGTCAAACACAATGTGACGCGTGTTTACGTCAGCATGAACTAACTGATTTCAACCAATAATATCCTCACATTCACCCGTCAATCAGTCTTCAGCTGTCAGCCACACAGAAGATTTCCAGATGGACTTGTTGCTAAAAAGAAGCTAACTGTCGCCAACAGTAATGCAGCTAACGTAAATCTGCGAAGGCAAACAGCTCTGATTTCTCTTTCACCTGAACTTTACGTTGTTTTTCTGTTTTTTCGTTTTTTGTCTTTTCAACCGGTTGAGTAACTCCGGATGCCGCTACATCTACGTCGTCAAACTACCTGAAAATGTTGATATACAACATACAAATAATCTGCTTGGAACAACAACGTGTGTCTGATAGGCTAAAAAAAAACTATAATCTCCACATTAAAATCAATAAACCTATAAATACTCCTTCTTTAGAAATTCCATAATCTATGAAATATACAGATTCTTTTACATTTTCCTGCACAATCATCATTCAAACTGAACTGAAACAGGTTTGAGCGAGAGACAAAGAGGAGAGAGAGAGAGAGAGAGAGAGAGAGAGAGAGAGAGAGAGGGAGAGAGAGAGGGACAGAGAGGGAGAGAGAGAGAGAGACAGAGAGAGAGAGAGGGACAGAGAGGGAGAGAGAGAGAGAGAGAGAGAGAGAGGGACAGAGAGGGAGAGAGAGAGAGAGAGAGAGAGAGAGAGAGAGAGAGAGAGAGAGAGAGAGAGAGGGACAGAGAGGGAGAGAGAGAGAGAGAGAGAGAGAGAGAGAGAGACAGAGAGAGAGAGAGGGGACAGAGAGGGAGAGAGAGAGAGAGAGAGGGACAGAGAGAGAGAGAGAGAGAGAGAGAGAGGGGGGGGAGGGAGAGGGATGTCTGAAGTCTGATTCTGATGATGATTCAACCCGACAACCAGCAGCCTCCTGATTCCTCCTCTGTTCTCCCGAGAGGACGATAATGATGGAGTGAGTAAAGCAGGAGATGAGGAGACGTTTTCGTACCTGATATCTTTACATTCTGTTTGTCTGATTTCTCCATAAAATCCAGTTTCACCCAAAATCTCTGATAAAGTTGTGTGTTTGTACTAGCTAGCTAACTAATGAATCTGCGCTCTGTGTCGCTAAAAGTTGAAGTTAGTTCATGCTTACGTGAGCACGCGTCCATTTGTTTTACAGGAAGACAAAATGATCAAATGTTGATATAAAAATACAAAGAAATTGAGTTTTTGTTAATTATCTTTAAATGTGGGAACAATATAACCGAGGACGTGATCTTAAAGGGTTAAAAAACACTTTTTCAACTGGACTAACTGTAAATTGAATTCAAAGCCTCTAATTTCCACATTAAAATCTTTAAAAAGTCCTTCTACCTCATAAAAATCCCATAATCTATTAAATATGCTAATTGGATTCATTTCTAAAGCTTTGCAGGCCCATGATCTGGTGACATCTGGAGGGTTGTAGGCCTGAATCCCTGCACCAACTGCTTAAAAGATCCACTGTCCATGTGCTTTTGAGCAAAGCACCAAACCTCCTCCTGTAGATCTGCTCAGTAACAGGTTGATATGTCCTGCCCGCAAGAAAAAAAAAGGTTAATCAAAGCCGTTCAATTTCTACCTTTTTAAAGACGACATAAAATCCTCCGCCGGCCGATACGTGTGAAGGGGAGTCGGGCGAGTTTTAGTTCATCGAGTCCGTCGTATTAAGAAAAGAGAAAAGAAAAACCTCCAGCTGTAATTCAGCGGCAGGAGTGCTGAGTCAGACTCGTTTCTGCTCCACATCACCGCTGGACCGACTGCAGATCACTCCATATGCTCACCTAATGAGGCTTTGAGACCAGGAACACCTACACACACACACACACACACACATATATATGCACTCATACTGTACGTTAGCTGTGCTGCTTTCGTTTTCAGTGAATCAGATTATTATTTTCTATATTTATCAATTATTCTTTTAGTGTAGTTTTGTTTTCTCAAAGTCCAAGGTCTTTAAATGTCTTGTCTTATTCAGTCTAAAGCTCCAGTGTGAAACATTGAGGAAGATTGTCTGAAATATTATATAATATTCACAGGTATGTTTTAATCACCTGGAAATAAGAATCATTGTGTTTTTGTTACCTTAGAATGAGACGTTTTAATCTACAGAGAGAGCGGGTCCTCTTCTGGTGGAGTCCGCCATGTTGAACCACCATGTTGTAAAGTAGCCCGAACGGACAAACCAAATACTGGATCCAGAGAGGGGTGTTTTTTCTGTGTGTTTTACAACCTGGAACTACACTAAATCCTACACATTGGACCTTTGATATGAAATAAAAGCAGGAAATTTCCACATTCAAGATGCTGAAAGAGCATTTTCTTCCATTTTTGCATAAAAAATTACTTTAACAATTTAATCGAAGTAGTCTAGTAGATTATTTTTCTGTCAGGCACGGTGGTTCAGAGGTTAGCACTGTTGCCCCACAGTAACCCTGAAAGTCCACCGGTCACGGCTTTAAGACGTCGTGTCTACGACACGGTTTGGCTCCAATGATCTGCACATCTTCATCAAATGCCTGTCCGACATTGTTGACTTTTATTTTGAAAATGGCCCGGATTCTCACTGTTGTTTCTGTGTCTGACTGGTGAGTGGGCCACGGACCCGATCAGCTCTGGTGGAATTTGAGCGTGAGAAGATCTTGGGTTCGAATCCCGGCTGGGGCAGGGCCTTTCTGTTTGGAGTTTGCGTTGGTTTCCTCCACCATCATAACACGTATGTTTGGTAATTCTCCAGTCGACGCCTTTGACCACGAACCCTGGTTTAGATCTGGAGCCAGTCCCTCTGCTCCGAGTTCTTAGGATGGGTCACATGCAGAGAATAAAACCCTGTTTGGGAGCAGAGCCACAATAAAAACACAGAGTTCTTCTGAAATATGCACGCTAGTCTGTTCAGATCATCACTAACTAGCCAGGAAGTTGGCATTTTTAGGGAATATTATAATACGGCCTTTGAGGTTGGAGCTGGAAGGTTGTGTTTGGTGAGATTTGAACTGGTGGAACTTGTTAGGACAGATACACAGCCGGGCAGTAAGCTGTGTCTGAGAAAATGACTTCAGGGGAAAGAAAGTCCCTGAGGTGTTTATATATTTGTAATGAAGTTGGTTTGTTTGAGGTCGAGGTTTGATTTTAATTCCCTGGGGATTGTGTTATTGTAGGCCAGAGAGAGTGACTGGAAAAACTTCATCTGACTCGGAAAGGTTTACAAAGACTGCTGTTTGTGTTAATTACTGTGATTGCAGATTTCAGCATGAACTGATAGAAGAAGAGGAGGAAGCAGTGGCGGTGAAGGTCTTTATTGGACAAATCTCCAACAGGTAAGAAACATTTCTAACCGGAAAAGCTACTAAATGTAGATAATATAGTTTATATAGTCTGTTGAGGTAACAACACACTGCAAATTGGTCCCAAGTCAAGACTGACAAGTCCTAATTCAAGCCCCAAACTTGGAGTTTTAAGTCCTAAGCAAGTCATAAAATGTAATGCTGGAAACTGAGAGTCCGCTGGAGCTTGTAGAGTCACTAGAAGCACATTCATGACATTCTATAAGCTAGCTAGAAGTTAAGCTGTCTTTTCAGATTTTGTCCAAAGTCATGAAATCTAGAGTCTACCTCTTCCAAGAGTTGCACTTTGCCGCTCTTTACTGCTGGTTCTGCACCTTCCTACACACTTCATGTACTTTTGCGAGGCAAAACATGGCACTGACACGATATTATCGAGGCTATCCCAGCTACGTTTTGATCCCATAGTTTAGAAACCCAGACTCTGATCCACCAGTGGAGAATGGACTCTCCCACTTTGACCTTTTAATGGACACTGGAGCGTCTCACTTTTTGGCCCTGCAGTGAAAACCAGAGCGTACGTCTTTCTGGCCTCGTAGTGGAAACCAGACTAATGAGTGTGCTGTTGAAGGCTAATTAGGCTCCACGGCTGAAAGTGGCTGTAATTTCGCACACGCACGCAACTCGTAGGAAGCTTTGGGGCAAAGTTGACAAACATGCCAACATGGTTTCATCTTTAATTCCCTCTCAAGTCGCTCTCTCTATCTTATTTCCCTCTCATTTGACCTCCGCACCCATTCCTTTAACATCCAGTCACTTGTGAA